ATCAGTGCGGCTCCCATGAAAAAAATAGTGAAGACCACTGGTCTATATCAATAAAATAATTCAATTTCATTCTTCCTTTAGTTCATTTAATATTTCTATTTAACCATGAATACAGTTAGAAAGAATCATGATACTGTAATTATTTTTCTATAATTTTTCTAGTATTTTGTGTACATTTCTGTGCTAAGTGTGGTTTGTTGTACATAGATTTATTTGTAGTATTTTGGATGTAAAATAAAAAATTACAGTTTGAACCATCAATGTAGACTAACAATGTAATGAATTCATTATTATTAAAAATGTAAAATAATGTATGAAAATAATAAATAAATAACGTATTAGTAAAATAATACTATTTTTCTATTTATTTATTAAAAACGTTTCTTGATTATTATACAAGTAGGTAAATAATGTGGATTATTAATATTTGTTGCATTGGTCTATATCAATAATATGATGAAATATTCTTCCTTGAGTTAATATATTAAAATGTCTTGATCATTTTCAACTATATGCTTTTCTGTATTTTAGTGTTTGTATTGAACATTTGAATCTTCAGTGACTATTTGATTAGTGTTTATTTTAACAGTTTTTTTTCTCTTCAGCATCAGAGAGCACATGCTGACCCTGTGGCTCTGAAGTACTCTTTCCGTGATGTCATCACGGCATCCCACAATGCACCTGTGAAGCTGCAGGTCCTGCAGAAGCGTTGTCTGGCTCCAGGATGGTACGCCACACACCTCTCACGCTGGCTCGAACACTACCACCACGACCAGGTCTGTGCGTTTAGCAGTATGTATGACCGTATGTTCTAACACAGCAGATTTATTTCTCATATTTCATTCATTAAACCCTCACAGATTCTGGTTGTGGACTGTCAGACATTGAAAACGGATCCAGCGTCAGTCATGGAGAAGATCCAGACGTTTCTGGGTTTGGAGAATCGAGTCGATTACCACAAGACACTAGCGTGAGTTTGAGCATCAGCACACAAATTCATATTATATGTTTTAACTGTGACGTTTCAGTCTCATGACTTTCTTCAGGCATAAATGAACATTGTTTGAATTAAATACACTCAAAAAAGCTTTCATGAACTCAAATCAAGGTTAGCTTAGGTCTGTACATCAAAACTAGAACAAGTTAATTTACAGAAAACATATAATGTTTCGTTAAACAAACTTTAAAAACAAGAATGCAAGTTAAAAAATGATTCGTGTAGTCTAGACACAAAACGAGTTGGTTACATTCCATTTTACAAATGTAAGTGAATTGAATATAATGAAATGATGATGTGACAGTTATGTTGTGCTCAAGAATTGTTTCTTCAGCTCATTTTAACAAAGGAAATTGAACAAGCAGCAAACATGTTAACTTGTTGAGTGTGATGGGAAAATAGAACAGTTTCTGTTATATTGTGAATATAGTCATAACTAAAAACTTTAGCACTAAGTGCATTAATATTTAAACTTTATTTTGTAGTAATACGTAGACTTAACAAAACAATAAGGTAGTTATACATTTTTAATAAAACATTATTAGATAAATTAATTGGTGTTGTCCTTCTATTAAAGGGGTCATATGATGCTGCTAAAAAGAATATTATTTTGTG